CAACCAAACACTATGTTCGCCGTCAAACGCGCGATGTTGCTTTGCAAGCCACTGTTTTAATCAGGAAACAATCGGAGATGTGGTTGTTAATGTGTTAATGATGAAGATGGTTCTGGTTTGGGCTACCGTGTATTAACTTGTATCTTAGGAATTTCGTCTCTGTATTTTCTCGTTGATTCTTTAGATTCGTACTAGCAGTAACAGCAGATATGGTATGTCGTGATCGATATGATATTCAGGGGATCTGTGAAGATGCTAGGAGTGATAAGTGGTGATAGTCGCTGGAATGTTGGAGTCTATCACACATGTATGTACGTACCTATATGCGCATACGATCACCACAACGAGTGATAGGAAAAGAGATGAATCAAACTTTGCGAAAGCATAAATTCAAATTTGACAGAAGCAAGTGATCCGCTTAGTTACATAATGTTTCCAGCGGGCAAGCTGCTTAACCCACACTCACACACACACACACACACACACACAACACGACCTCCCACATGCCCATCAACCCAGGCAGGTACGAAAGGAAAAGAAGCACGGAAGAAGCTCATATATCTTGATCCCTGCAGAACCCTAACTAGCTTCTACTGGATCACCGAACCTCGATTCTAAAATACAACCCATGCTGAAAAGGAGGGTACGGCACTTGTTTTGTTCGTAGCACACCACCAAATCGGGATTCCCATGCACCGAAGCGAATGAGACCAGAAAGAAGGACTTTATCTCTTCTACTCTAGCTGGTTAAGGCGGATGGCCGAGTGCTGAAGTGCTGCAATGCGAGAAGCATCACTTCCAGGGTGCCTGGTACATAAGTCTACCCTACCAGTTTTTGTCTTTGGATATCTTGGGTGGATGTCGGTTCTACCTCCACTTTTTTTGATGCACCTGCTCATCATCATCACCTTCCCTCTTTTCTTTTTTTTCTTTTTTTTTCCTACAGGGAAGGAAAGTGCGGTTGCCAGGTACGGCATGTACTATATGTGCGTCGTGCCTGGTAGAGTACATGGTGTGAAAAGGGGACATCAAGCAACAATCATTATTGAACACTACCTATCTGACTACCCAGGAATCAAACGAACCATGATCCAAACTGTTCTGAAGTCTGGGATAACAGAATTGCGGGGATTATCTTGGCCCACTAATTTCTATCTTATAAAAAAGTTATGATAGGCTGTTTCGTTCTTACTTGAGCGACTCTCTACCCTACAACAGACCAAAGAGGATCTCTCGCTAAATTAGTGGTCCAATCACCGCCCACCTCATCTGACTTTCCGTGTTGATCATTTCTGCTCGGGGGCCGGCAATCGAAAATCCATGGCGGTGCTTTGACAACAAAAAAACGCAGGTCGCCGCTCAGCTCCCCACGAAATAGTTGTTCCAGAGAATCTGATGCATGGGTCCTTGTTGTTGTTGGTTCCCACTTGTTTTCAGTTGGGTTATTATTCGAATTGGTATGCATGTGTAACGCCTCTGCACGCAGTTTTTCTTGCGAATCAGTCGGTATGATCCTCAATACCCCAACAAGCGGATGAGACCGTGCGGGGAGAACTTCATATCTCTAGATGTGACAGATACCAAATGGGAATTGGAACATGTTCTGTTTGTTAAGGACGAGGAAACTTTGATACATGAGGCTCGACAGTATGACGCTGTCATCCGGCTAGCTTACTCTCGAGGGTATTCTAAGCGCCTATCATTCAGCAGCACTCGCCTTATCTTAATAATGCCTACCTACATACATAATTCCACATTTCCCTTAACTATGCCGAACACCAGTTGGCAGTGTGTACTTTCCCACGATGGATCCCAAATCAGTGATATATTGGTTGTTGGATTATTCTTCTGTGCAGCAAGTTATATCCCCAGCGGGCAGCGACAGGCTGCGAATCTATTCAGATTCAAAGGCCTTTAGCTAGAGTAATATAAACTCGGTGCCCGTTAATACTACCCCGATCTATAGTCATATGGACGCCGTTACACGAGGCTGCTCGTATCTGATCGCCTTCAGTGGGAAATAATGAAACTAACGAGTGCATCCAGGTAGTGGTATTGACCTTACCACTGATCATGGTATCGCACAGGCACTCCTCTCGAAATAGCTGTGTGGAGTGTTTACTCTAAATAGGCCACTCGATGACGATTTTCTTAAGGCTGATAGCCTCGCCGCTCCATCTTCGCGCCATATCCGAGACTGTTTAAAGCACCAGCAAATCTATCAGTGACTGTTTTATGATGTGGTGGCATCGGTTTCAGGGGATGAATAACCAATTGCAGCTATGAATGTAAACAAGAGCGATATATATCTTACCTATTGCAGACCGAAGGCATAGTCTTAGAGGTGTCAAACTCAACTGGAAGTTAATCCGGATTCAATTGACCAATGACGGCGGTCTAGCTCCCTTCGCACTCGAAATCCTATCCTTCGCCCCATGAAAAAAACCTATGCTTTGCTTTGAATAGGTACGTATATCCTAACGGTTCCGATATTTCGACTGTGGCTGCCTAAAACATAGTTATGTGGCAACTCTGTGTAAGATTTGGGGACAGAATACGTAGTACCAGATCAAGCGTGCGCCTCTTTGGAGGATGCTCATTATCGTGCACAGGAATGCTATTTCTCTAGGCATCAGATCAACCTGTGGCGATATGACCTGGAACCCCAATCAATAGGGATTTAAAGAAACTCTCACATAGAGAATTTCGGGATTACATACTACCAGTACACTGTCTTGCGAGAGACAGAAGGCGTCTTTTTCGAACCCTTGTCCCTGTAGGCGCCGCTAGAAGGCCTTGAAAATGCGGTCTTCTGTCCTTGAATCCTCTGAAACCATCTGCTTAGGTATCCGAATTGCTGGAATTTATCAGAGGTCTCGATCTTTTAGGATTCGGGATTTTCTTTTTCAAAAGGAAATGCCGAGCCGGTCCCACCTGCATTTAGGTACGCACAGCATATATATCGGGGTCATAATGAAAATCGCCTCTGCCGCCGCGTGAGTACATAGCATGGTATAGCAGAAATGCGAGTAAAGATTTGCGAAGATACTCTGGGAGCGAGCATTCCTTACCAGGTACACTCTACTATGCTCTACTCTACTTGTCCCTCCCTCACCGATTGCCGAGAGATGAGGCCTGCAGCGATTATCCCCAGGCAAATAAGACCCTAGGTCAATGATAGCCTTTCGTCCAATGTCTTCCAACATCTGACGTAACACTAGCCGAAACCAGCGGGGTATTCCACTATGTACATGATCCTGCATGTATTTAGTGCAGCAGCCTAACAATTAGTACGCAAAAGAAAATTACTTGGTGCTCTAGCGCGATAGAAATCTTTTAGTTGTGGAACTCGACGACGCAGGAATTCTGTACTCTAGGTTTTGGTTTCTGAGTTCCCATGACATGCATGATCTAGCTTAACTTATAGGCGAGAGTGAGGCGAAGGTCGGTTGTGTTGTCGGTTGTTTCCTGGGGTAACCCTAATTCAAGTTCCTCAACTGCATGTTCCTGCCTAGATTACTCCAACCTAGTCTGTTGAAACCCTAATCCACTATTTATAAAGAAGGATGCCGACTAACTCCAAGTAGAGGCAGGAGAGTACATACGCACCTACATATAAATACGCCTTGAAGTTGGGAAACTCTTTGACCTGAGGCTCGGATATGGATATCAAGCCGGGATCTTAGTCGGTCTCAATCCAACAGGTATGGTTTGCTTTAGTATTCGTTGGCGGAAAGACGTTCACCAAGATCTGGCATCTTTTATGATACTAAGAACACTACTTTTAGCTCACCATTTCATAATTATTAAACTTAAAGCTCCAGCGCAGAAAATCAATTCGGGAAAATCCGAGCCAGTGTTATTTTACTCTCGCAGGACTAGCTCCAACATTTTCATAGTTCTCAGGCTTGGTTAATCCGGAGCGTACAGAACATGGGGTAAATTCACCGAGACTTCCGACCCGGGATTCTATCGCTATGCACAAGGTCCCGTAAGGTCCGACTCCCAAAAGATTTACCATAAGGAAGAAATGCCCGCCGCTCGATGTAATACGGCCATCAATTCGGGCGAAATGATAAAGACGCGTCGACGCCCTTACAAACCAGCTCAATTGGGTGTTTGGGGCGTAGCTTTTTTTGAGGTATCGGCACCGGTCACAAGACTCGGGTCTGACCTGCTACAAACATGGCATCCTGTGGGATTCGGGGAGTTCTGGCAATAGTTAACTCGAAACATGCTGTTTTCACGCCTTACAGATCCGTCGACGTGCCAACCGGTATGCTGCTATGTAGATCCAGGGCCTTAAAGTAAGGGGTAAGGGGCTTGGTACACGATAGCACGTGCTGTTTCTAAGATAACGTGTTGGTTAACTTTTGGCAAATTTGTATCCCTGCAGGGACCCTTGGACTTTCACTGGTGTGGCGTGAAACAAAAGAGTCCCATAGACTACGAATAGATGGGAATCGGCACACGATAAGCATTGAAAAGTGCATGTCCATATGCTGCTACGCGGGGCGGTGAGGAACGTGTTCACTCGTGTATGTGTATGACGACACATAATAGAGGTATGCCCACAGTCCACTCCCATGGTAATTTCCGCCATTTTATCATTTATGGAGGCTACTTGCAGCTTCTTGAAATTTCCGTACTCTAGACCCTAGAGTATTCAGTGAACACTGCAGGCTGGCGATTTGAGAGTAAAGTCTTACACATATTCAAGCATTGCTATCGGAGTATTTTAACAGCATGAATTGTAATGAAGGTTGGGCAATTTTGGCAAATGGCCTTGTGCTATTCAAGCAATTTATCTCATAATAATCTTATGTTTATGTTTCCACCATCCTACTGGGAGTGTTGCACTTCGAATCGCACAAGGCGCGCATGCTGACATTATATCACCAGATTTGTGATTCCGGGGTTCTGGTGTATCCCAGCATTATAGATTCGGCAGTGCATATGAGTGCTCTAATATTATCATGAGACTATATAGCCATAAGAAAATGGCGTATATGCGATATACTCATGAGTATAGGAATACCAGTTCCTACTTGGAGCTCATAATCACCAATGAGAAGAAGGGGGTCCAGAACAGGCGAATTCATATGGCGACTGCAAAACGTTTCCAAGCGCGCCCGGCCAGGTTTGCGTACCATTAACACAATCTAGCTTGTGCCCAAGCTGTTTTCAGTTGATATTTACGTGCGGACAAGCTGAGTCTGACTGAGGTCTGGGAACAAGATTACCTCTTGCACATCGATATCGTATGGCTGATTTGTACTACAACGGGATTACACCGGGAGCTTGCTGGGGCGCACCGTTAGCCGTCGGATTTTTCAATCGGTACTACTAGATTTGATATATATCGCAACTTAAGTACTATGTGAACCATATGGACCATGAGTACATGTATTTACATGTACCCGGGACAGGTAACAAGTACCCGAAAATACAAGCTCTGATATGTAATTGCTATTGGGGTAGAAGTAAAAAGTACACCAATGCATCACAGCTATATTTTCAGATATTTCATGCCTACGGTGAGTAGTTACACTAATTGTCAATAACCCGCTTGGTACTTTAGGTTCGTATGTGAGTTTTTCTGACATTATTACAGTTTATCCGTTCTTAAATCACATGATAGCGCCTAAATGCAGTATAAGATCGAAGTAAGTACACTGATTGCTAATAACCAGCTTGGTGCTTCAGGATCATATGTGAGTTTTCCTGTTATTGTCCGTTCGTGGATTATATGATAACTAAATGCAGTATAAGATTCAAGGGTCGATTACTCTAATTGACAAGGATATTTTCAGGACTCTCTTAAGAAAAATCTGGCATCGATAAAGTTAACGGAAAATGGAATTAGCTCTATTTACGCAATTACCATCTATTTACACAATGACCATACTCACGCGTTAGCAAAGTCCTGGGAAATTTTATGAGGCCGTTGCTACCAAGAATTCTCAGGATTTAACGCGTGAGTATTGCCTCAATTCAAAAGCATGATAGATCAAATTATTAGAGCCTTTACACAAAGACCCTACTCACACTCTCATAGAAACAGGGTCACCCTCAACCACCAATCAGAGAGAAATCCTGCCACCGGTGCCTGAGTCTCCCGAGACTAGCTATAATTCTAGGGGTAAGCAAAAAGACTCAAATATTATGACAGTTAATATTTCCGGTTTCTTTGCTCGAGACCCCTACAACTCAAATCCCTGCTTGCAGTTTGCGTTTTAAAATTCCTTTTATCTATCTGAATATCTATATCACCGGTTTTATAGACCGGGCTTTCCAATGTATCCCAAAGGTAATGCCGGGACCAGGCATGAGCAGATGTTCCGGAACAGTATTATAAAGTATAGATCTTCAGAGAATACCTCTGCTTGATATAGTTGCCCCATGTATATTCTTAATTGGGCGACATTCCGTTGTGGTAAACGAATTCTCTAACCAATAATATTCTAACCGATTTAACCATGCATGCTAATAATTTCAAGCATTATAGGGTAGCGCATTCTGCCGGTAGGAAAAACTCGATAAGGCTCGGTAAGAACATATGCAGGGCGGGCTCGAGCTTTTCCGCATTCTGTTTTGTTTAGAGTGCCGTACCTACATGTTACGGAGCCGGGCAATATATTCCGAGCCCGGGTGCGGCAGTTAATTCTTTTTTACCAGTCCAGTACATGTAGGTACACTGTATGTACTATGTATGCCTCGCTACCCCCATTACAGCTTACATAACTGATTAATTAGGATTTATATTAGTATTCTACCTATGGACCATCGAAATTTGAATATTGGCCGCCGGCCTCTTAAGGCTGAATAAGCGTGATTAAGCGGGGAATTAAAACATAGACGCAAACTATAATTACGCCTCTCGTCGATTGAAGAAGACAGAAAGGAACACACACCCCGGTCCTGGAATATCCCCCATATATCTCCGGGAAACTAGGTAGGCGCGAGGTTTGACATCAACTCTGTTAGCTAATTAGGTTACTCAACAATTAGATGAAACGCTTAGTTAAGCTTCGTATACGTAACCTAAACATTTAAAGTATTGACCAGGATCGAGATGTTTCAATCTAACTTTATATTCTAGATTGGGAATATATCATTGGTTTTTAGCTTCACCCCGCGGTTTCAAACTCTGCTCTTGGACATTGCTTGGTAGGTTCTAGAGCTTTAGGCTTGGGTCTAGCACTTTAGGGCCGTTGCGCACGACCATTTGCTACCAGATACTCAGTCAGTCAACAAAGCAACTACAACTGGCCAGTCCGGAATCAAGGCTGACATGAGAGAATTACAGTGGATGTTCCACAAGATAGCTCAAGGTTCATCGTTCATCCCATATACTTGAAATCAAGCCTCCGCGCGGCCTAGCCAATGACCACGGCCGGCCAACGCCATACTGGCATGCACCGCATCCAATAGTCTCTGCGCGCCGGAGAATTTCTTTATCATAGCCGACCACGTATTAAATATACTACTACTCGGGGCAGGCAATAAGAACCTGAAAATGCAAGCTGCAAGCAGGGGCTCAATTTGGTGTAGCTTTTCGCCAGCCGCGAATCAGAGGTCGTTACCATAAAAAGTCATTTTCAGGTTCTTCATGCCTGCCCCGAGTACATACCAAGGCTCCCCCGGAGAATTAACCTAAAAATCTCTTCAAGCGCGCCTACGACCCGCCTGCCCGGGGCTACACCAAAAAGCTTATTAGCTATATATATTATATTATCTATTGGGCACATGTGCGCGGCGAACTTCCTGATGAAGCGCATTTGAGCCTACCCACGTGCGGTGATACGTTAAGCTATAGTGCTTTCTGGCTATTGTCAAACGCATACAAGGCATTATTATCTAAGTGGGGCAAAATAGCAGCTGCGCGGGGCGGGGGAGAGGGAAATCTCACAGGTTCCTGCAGGCGGTTTCAATAGATCTTCTATGATATAGTGAGAGTGATCATACGTAAGTTTTGCTTTCGTCCCTTAAGATTACAGATAAGGCTGCAGCTTTTCGACCCAACACACACACACCTGCACCCGCACTGGCCAGCTGGATCGATTGACTGGTACCTACCTATATCCGCATTTATTCTTTCTCTGAAGAACTTATTACGAGGAAACCCGATGCTCCCCCCTCTCCCCCGCCTTGTGTTTCAAATATGTAAGTATGTACACATAAAGAAACAAAACCATAGGCTCTGGCGGCAGATGTTATATTAGCCACCAGTGGTTGAAAGAAAGTTTCTCGACACGACATGGCGGGGACAGGGTGATCCTTACTGCGCTGACACAACCCGCATGGTCAGGGAGGGCTGTCAGCATTGCAGGCATCGTGCGGGGCGTGGGGCGGGGGGCGATCGAGATGAGGCCTACAGCCGGCCGTCAGTGCTGCAGGACGGTTGGGAAGTTGAGATGAAAGCGACCTGGCTTTTGGGGGGCTGTCTGAATGGCGAGTCGCCGGTTTTCACATGTGGGCACGTACACTGCGCGGTCATTACCGTGGATCCCGCCGAATCCCGGGATGCAGACTCCCGCCCGGGCTCTGGAGAAAGGGCAACTGCGCGGACGAAGTTATAGGAGCGGTCGTTATAGATCCGGGGAATCTCTCGATTCGTTGTTCTGCGCGCTGTGTGTTCATCGTATTCGAGGGCGGACACCCGGCAGGCCGGTGGTTCCCGGATATAGTAGATACTAATATTATCATCTGACCGGAACTCTAGAAATATTGAAATGTCCAGAATAGAATCCCTAATGGCTAATCGATCATCGGGCGTAATTGTCGGGCCGAATGCAAGGAGGACAAGTCAAACGAGTGATAACTCATGACGCCAACTACGGTGATCTTTTTTTTTTTTTTGTTTAATTCACTTAATTCATTATATTACGGTGATCTCATGGCTATGGAAAAATCGTAAACAATCTTTGCGCGGTAGGGGAATTGCAGACTCAACTGACATCAATGCCAATGGTTGCCAATGGTAAAAATATTTTGTAGTGTCTAGATCCAACGAGGTTATATGCCGGATTTTTGAATCGCTCCAGCCGGCCGTTTATCTACGAATCCAGAAAATGTCGTAATAGACGTATTCCAAGTAACGGCCCTTGGGAAAGACAAAATCGGGGTCGTTACAAAACATTTACCCCTATTCCTGGCTGGCGCGGGCAGGACTATCGGGCTGGTCGGCGGACCCGGCAGATGGTAGTATCGTTCGGCGGGCCCGGCCTGGCGGCGGCTCGATTCTTGAGCCGGCATGCGCACCCTCCTTCTCCTTCCCTCCCCTCCCGCTGCTGCTTCCGCAAACCCGCGAGCTGAGGCTCTAGAGAGTTATCGCAAGTCTCAACCACAGCAGAAGCGGCATCTGAACCGGCCATTGAAGATTGCGGCCGCGCGGGACGACGCCTCCGGGCTCGGGCTCTAGCTCATCGCCCGGACTGGAACCTCTGCAGACCCACCACATAACTACAGCCTAAGGGCTAAGTCTACCGGTTTGGTAGAGGCAGTCGTATTCTCGGTCGAATGTTTCCAGTGGGTTTTGTCAGCCGGTTTTTGTTGAACTGGGGACCGGGCCGTTAGGAGCTGGATTGGGCTGGACTGTATCGGTCCCGGGACTGGACTGGTCGTGCGGGGGCAGGTTTAAACTGCGCAGCAGGCTTGGTTGTTTTACGCCGTTGCGGCGGTTTTAAGGGTTGAAGGACTGGTAAGAGCGTTTTATGGAATCGCCCCAGGGGCCGGTTTTCGGCCGGTTCGGGTTTCAGCCTGGCGGGTTTTGTCTATGCTAGGGAATGTGGAAAATTGGTTTCCGGCAACGTTTTTCACAATAGGACAGCTGTGCTGGCGATGCTGATATGGGCTGGAGTTTTATTTTGAGATTTCTTCGCATTGAGAACAGGAATAGACTGGAAGACTACTATTAAAGGGCTCTTGAAAACCGGTCTAGACTAGAAAGCCAATGATGCACTAGAAAAAATCCCTCAACCAATACTGCTGGGAGAGTGAGGTGCAGAAATCCGCAGTCTCATAAGTCAATTTAATCTTTGGGTCTCAGCTCCACAAATCCTAATTGTCAATACTACCCTTTTTCGTGGGGCTAACAACGAATCTAGGGGAGCAATTGGTGGAAGATTGACTCAGGCTAAGAAATTGTTAGGGAAGCCACCTTTTGGTCCCTGTGGGAAAGGACAAAAATTGACACCTTAGAGATAAGCTAACCAGAGAGGATTCACGAAGTTAAGTATTTGGGGATTGGTATAGGTTAGGGTTTGTGGACGTCTTTTTTGCTCTCGTGTTCAGGGAACGTATGCACGAATAATTGGCATTGGAGGAGGGAGATGAATTAGGAGAGGTAGCTAGGCCCCATTATTGGTAGGGAATTCTAGCACTAACTATATATATATGCAATACACTATTGCTTTGGTCGTGATATCACTGCAGCTGATATCTACTCTTGAGGACAGTTTTTCCCATCTCGAGACAGATAAGAAGGGAGTCTGGAAAAACATTCCTCTAGTCTTGAGGCCTATAACTAGATGTCTACAGGCTATTTATATTCTTCAGAAAGTCATTTTTATATAAAATTTACCAGGGTTAGGGTTGAGATTCATGGATTATCAATCGATTGAGTGATTGTTTCAATACACATTCAGCATTTGAACGTTTGGGTGATCCGTCTGACGTCTGGATTTTATTGAGTCTGCTCAGATTTTCTTTGGTGAAGGAAAACTATTATTACTTGGAATAGTCTAACGCAATATTTCATTTCACGTCACCAAGAGACGGCGCTATAAAATCTTAATAAGCCAAGGCTAAGTAATTATCTCGCTATATATTGCCAGTATCTCATCATTATGGTATAAGACGGGCGGGGTTGTCGCCAATTAGTCACGCCTTTTGTAACTGCCATGGATCGAGCAGGTGGTAATGATCGCAAAAACAAGATATTACCCCGGCCCCCAGGTGTGGTGGGGGTGTATGGGTGTTGTCATAGAGTGAACAGCTATATCGGTGAGAGAGTAGTCGAAATATAATATTTCAGAGCGTACATGGTCTTTGATAGATCTAGCATCTTGCACTGGAGACTTTCCACTTGTCACCGGCCGGAATACCGAATACTCCCGTGTGGTTATATAGGATTTCAGATCGAGGCTAATCAGTATCTCAAGTTGCGAAGTTCTTTCTTATCCTGTCATTTTACATTAAATTTTTTTTATTCAGGTATATAGCTCTAGCCCCTAGCTTGGTGAATCATGAGGCTGGCCTTAATTAAAGGTTCGGCTCATGAACTATCACAGGAACATCAAGCCGAAGCCGACACATATAAATACAAGAAGAGACATTAATTATATTCAAAAAACCAATTAGACTGCAAGATCTCAAAAGGCTGTAAATCTCCAAAATTGATCTGATAAATCATACAATACCAAATTCAAAATGGGGGCATATGGTATTACTTGGTCTCAGGAATACCCGGTGTCGCTTCCTTGAGCACGCGTGATATCTCTCTGGTTCTGAAGAAACTAAGGACAGCAAAGCCTCTTACACCTCCACTATCCATCTAATCATTATCAACACCAACATCAAACACTCTGGTAATAGTCGAAATTCCCGAAAAGCACATCATGAGATACACCTCAGAGCCACAGACCACACACAATGCCACAACCACCTTCACCAACACCATATCACCCCACGAAGCCCACCGCCGCCAACAAGCCAAAGCCCTCCTCGACCAGATCACCACCGCCCTCGGGCCCCCCATCACACAGTTCCTCGCCTCCCACGGCCCCACCTGCACCCCTGGCAGCGAAGCCTCCTTCATCATCCACGCCCTCAACTACGCCCGCAGCCAATGGTCCGTAGTAGCACACGGACACTTGCCGCTCGCAGCGGTCATGTGTGTGTGGTCAATGAAGGGGAAGGGCCTCTTCCACTACTATAAGGATAAGCTGGGAATGAGGGGGCCGCTGGTCTATAGGTGTGCGCTGTGTCATGAGATGAAGCCCGGGGGGCTGTGTAGCATGTTGGAGCATGTGGGGATGGTGCATGCGAGCGCTGCGGAGAGGGGGGTGAGGTGGGAGCGGCAGGCGTGGCCGGTGGTGTTGCCGATTAGGGGTCTTGGGGAGCAATGGGAGGTGGGAGAGGTGAAGAATGGTGTAGGTGACAGGCGTAAGAGGAGGTGGAAGAGTAGGTGGGATACACCGGTGCCTCTAGAGGGGAAATATGATAATGAGGTTATAGAGGACGGGAGGGAAATGGAGGCATATGCTGAGGAGCCTGAAGTTTGGGAGGCTGCAGTTAAGGAGGAGAGTCCCGAGCTCGAAGATCCTGAAGACCAGGAGGCCAATGATGATCTCGACCAGGATATCTATGATCTTTTCGCGGAAGCTTGGGAATAGGATCTCATCAAAGATGGGTTTGCGTCTTGTGCCGCTTCATATGATACAATTTAGTGTCTGTGATGTGAGGATCTGCGCGTGGGTCATACACATGTTCATAGATAGAATCCGTGTTTCTTGTTTTTTTTTTCTCTTTCGATATAAGTACATAGTAATTGTGGTCAGATCTTTATCTTTCGATTATGGTTTAACAACCACGTTATTTCGCAGTGCTGCGCTGCTTAACGTTCTCGTTCGTCAATGTAAAGAATATTAGCTAATAGAGCCCAACTATACCCTCCTCCGATTTATTGTCGTTTGAATTCCTGTCTCCTTCGATTCTGTGTGGCGGTTTGGCTTGAGCGGGTCGCGTCTAAGGACTACATAGTACCATCTAGAATTAAAATTTCTTTACTATTCTTCGAGCTACTGTGTCTTATGACACTGTTTCTTCTCGGTGAGTAATTTCGGGTGTTATTTCACGTCATTAGAAGGTCCATTGTCCGAGTGATATTATATGATCCAAATTCGTTACAACACATGATTCGAAATTATTTCAGTGAGAGAAACGAGAATGCTTCCTTGATCACACGGACTAGATTCACTGTGATACTAGCTCTTGAGATCCTATGACAAGGAAAGAGAGGAAAAGATTTCTCACTAGCTGGTGCTTGATCCCGGTCCCCATGACTCCTTCATAAACGTACTATCAAGCTTCTGGAGTACTCTGTGCCATTCTTAATTTCGATGATTGTACTTGTGAAAGTCGTGGTATAGCGATTCATAGTAACGTTTGGAGAAGGAAGGTGGAATATAAAGAGTCCATATTTTGTAGCCTTTGCCTTGCGAAAGTTTAAACGTGTGCTTTTCAACGCTTTCGAGGATACTCGCATAATACACTCTGGCCGAATAATCAGGTTACCCTTAATAAACTACAGGCATAATCCAATTAGATGAATCTAGCATGTTGGTCTCCTTCGATGATACAACAGCTGATCAAAAGTATCGATATAAGTATACAGCACATGTCTTAAGCTTTTGAAGACTCAACACCCTCCCAAATTAGTAGTTACATGTATACTAAATCATCCGAGTGATCATCCCTGATGAAGAAAGTTAAATCTCGACTTGTTGGCATTGAATGAAACAAATGCTCGTGTATACGTCACTGTGAATGTTTCTCGGGAAGAAGCAGACATGTAGTGTCATGTAGCAATGTACATGTGCTCTCTCTCTTTTGGATTGCGGGTATATACATACATGTATACAGACAGTCATGTGGGATCCCGCATGCACTCGTAGTTGCTCTAGATCTAACCACAGCGCCAAACTGAATCAATTGCGGGGAAGGCATGGAGGTACATGCACCTTCCCATCATCACAATCAAATAGCCCTCGATCAGCTAGCTTTAGCCGTTGATGAACTTTCTTTGGAACCTCATTGTCCTTTGATGAATTTCATGCTTAAAGTGTCTCTTTAAGGCGCATATGGCATAGACCGCATGCATGGTGGTGTATTAACGGCGCTTGTGTGCAAGTAATCTCTAATGAGCTGTGATCCTTTAATGACCAATTGATTATAGAAGATCGGAACGATCGAAAGCGCCAGTCTTTGTAATGTGTATATACTCTCATTGCATCTCAGATGATTGATCAGCTACTTGATTACGAAACATGCAATTGGCCGGTATATACGAGATACTTACCCATGACTCCACGATAACATAACCCCCTCCTTCAGGTGCGTGACATGTGTTTTGATATCACAATTAAACACGTCAGATCTTGGTTTGGCCGATTTGGACAGAAATCAAGAGCAGCTACAGTTGGTAGGTTGAGGAGATGCAGGGTTAAATAAATAAGGGACCTGTATAGACAAATGGATAATGATGAATCTGGATCGTAAGCTCGATCGTAGGTATATGTAGTTAGATAAGAAGTCGGTGTGGTGGTGGTGGTGCTGCATGCTGATAAAGGTAAACCCGACGTTGGAGCTCGCACCCAGAAGAGGGGAATGTGGGGTACGGTTGATGTTCAAGCCTCATAGTGGCCCCGTTTACTACCTAGTTGGGGATGTTTAAAATACATCCGTGCGGGCTGCCACCTGCAGGCTGCTCCGCTCTGACAGGTTTTGTTCTGCCATCCGCTCCTCCATTTCGGGAGTTTCCGGAAGCTTCCATCAACGGTACCCTAGCAACGGTATCTCCCATGATAAGTAGAGTAAGTAAGATCCGATAGGCGAAAAGCAATCTTGCATCGGAAAATAACCGAGACCTTATTTATAACGACTGCCGCTAACATTGTCACTTCTCACAGTTCAGGTCACTTAAATTGGAAAATGATAAATTGGCACGATAATTGAATCAATAAGTAAGAGAGATGGTGACAAAAATCTAATAAGAATCTAACAGCATGATTCATTTATCATGCACCCCAAGATCTTGGGCAGGTTGAGACCGTCTATCGAATATTGAATCGACGAAACAGGAAAGGTATAATCGTTGCTACCTTTGCCCAAGTTGTAAAGAAAAAGGAAAAGAGAAAAAAGGAACCAAGTAGTAAAAGAAACCCCGAACCATTCCACCCATCCCACCAACGTAAAAAGAAGACAAAAAGAATTTAAGACCCTTACTCGAGACCACCACAGATGGTCTCGATCATGATACCAGTGATCTGGTAAGGGCAAGCGTTGGAAGCAGGGCGACGATCCTCGAAGTATCCGAAACCCTCCTTGGCACATGACCTGGGGATACGGATTGAAGAACCACGATCGGCAACACCGTATGAGAAGTTGTCGATTGAGCCGGTCTCGTGTCTACCAGTAAGACGGAGAGTGTTGTCGTCACCATAGACGGCAATGTGCTCCTTGTGGCGCTTGGCGAGCTTGTGGATGGCCTCCTCAATGTGCTTCATGCCTCCCTCCTTCCTCATCGCCTCAGTAGAGACGTTGGTGTGGAGACCAGAACCGTTCCAGTCACCACTATACAATATTAGATATGTTTTATGGCATATAAGTGAATTTGGGACACTTACGGGATGGGCTTAGGGTGGAAAGAGATCTTGACACCGAACTCCTCAGCAACACGCTGAAGGAGGTAGCGGGACATCCACAAGTGGTCGCCCACTAATCCAAAGTTAGTAAAGCTTCTTGATACTAAGAGGAATTTTGATATACTGACTTTCAATCCCTTCACAAGGTCCGACCTGGAACTCCCACTGGGACGGGAGAACCTCTGCGTTGATACCGGAGATCTTGATTCCGGCATACAAGCAGGCACGGTAGTGTGCCTCAACAATGTCACGGCAGTAAACCTTTCCAGTACCAACACCACAGTAGTAAGGACCCTGAGGACCGGGGAAACCACCCTTGGGCCATCCGTACGGTTGACCGTACTCGTCGAAGAGGGTGTACTCCTGCTCAAGACCGAACCAGGGCTTCTGGTCCTTGTGGGCCTCCATGAGCTTGGCGCACTCGTGGCGGTAGTTGAACTTGTTAGGGGCACCGTCGGCGTTCCAGCACTCAGCCAAGACGAGAAGGTTGTCGCCACCGCGGAATGGATCGGGGAAGGTGGCCACGGGACGGAGGTAGACATCGGAGTCCTCGCCAGGAGCCTGAGCGGTGGAAGATCCGTCGAAGTTCCATTCTGGAAGGTCCTCGATAGATTCTGGCTTCTTGTTGAGAGTCTTTTAAAAGTAGAAAAATCCTTGTAAGCGATATGGACAAAATTGAGGGGTTGGAGGTTGCGCAAGCGAAATTAATGAATTGAGATGTTGTCGTGTGTTGCGGGGGCGGGGTAATGCGATTGCGATAATGATTTGAGAAGGAAGGATCACAAACCTTGGTCTTGCTCCTCACACCATTGGATCCATCGATCCAGATGTACTCGGCTTGTATGCTGCCCTTCTGGTCAAGGTTGAGGTACTTGAGAAGCTGTAGATAAAAAAGTTTAGTTGAATGTTTAACCGATAAGATTTGTTCTCGGATAGGGGAATACGGACGTTGGCAGTGTTTGAGATGGTTGTTGAGTCAGTCTGTTGAAAAAAATTGTTAGTCGGTTGATAAAAAGGCTTCGGCAACAAGGAAGGGCGCTGACCATCTTGAGAATGTGTTGTGGGTATCTAAGAACGAAAAGAAGAAAGATGAAAAAGAAGAGATGTAGTGAGGTTGGGAGCTATGAGCTTGGAGTGGATGATGAAGTAGGAAGAAGAAGGAGCGGGGGAGGGGAGTATATAAGGCAAAGGAGGAAGAGTGTGACTGATGATAAAATGGAGAAAGGTGGTGTAGTTTGGTGGGCAGGGGACCGAGATGCCGTGGAAGTTTACACCCACACTGAAGCAGGGGCACGGTTTGTTGGTTGCGTGTGCGGGAAAAAAAAGCAACTTTCTTTTTTCGAAGGCTCCTCGTGCAGGCTAACTATGAGTGGGGGATAGAATCACCACAGGCTGCGATAAGATTGAAAGACACAGGGTTCTTGAGGCTTGCTGAAAAGCCTGCATGCAGCATCTCTGATACACATTTATCCGAATGCAGTACTAAAAAGAAGAGTACATTATTGGGCATAACTATAGTTGAACTATTCAGAAGTCATACACAGTTCCTGTTTTTCTAACATACCACGTCCACGGCAGTTCGAACACCTAGCAGATACGCATACTACATGTATGCTTTCCTGCCCGCTTCACTACCATCATCCTCGCCATCAAGCCTTCGAATATGGGGCCCTGTCCTGATGTTGTCCCACGTGAGTTATTATTTTCCCCTGCAACACTTCACACGAAAGTAATCGCCGGATGGCAGTCAAAATTTCTATTGTACTGGATTCTTATCGATCAATCCAACAGATTCGTATGCAACCCAGAAGAAAAAGGAAAACTTTACGTTTCATGAAGAACAAATCGTGAGCGAAAAACTTTCAAATGGGATTGGTTTTCCATGTCATAAACTTGACGTCCTTGCAACCAGGTTCAAGATTTTAAGATCTAGCCGAATAAGGATCTTGCCTCGAGCCTTCGTGGCGGGC